AAGGGAGAGGGGGGACATGATAGGAACGTATAAGATACTCAAAGGGATTGACAGAGTAGACATAGACGAAATGTTCACACGGAATAGTAACAGAACGAGGGGACTTGGATGGAAGCTTGAAACTCAGATGAGTCACAGAGATGTTAGGAAGTTTTCTTTTAGCGTGAGTAGTGGGAAAATGGAATGCACTTCAGGAACAGGTTGTGGAAGCAAATAATATTCATAATTTTAAAACCAGGTATGATAGGGAAATGGGACAGGAGTCATTGCTGTAAACAACCGATGCTCGAAAGGCGGGATCCAAGAGTCAATGCTCGATCCTGCAGACACAACTAGGTGAGTACAACTAGATGAGTACACAGCTGAGAGGCGGGCCGAAAGAGCCAGAGCTCAACCTCCGCAAGCACAATTAGGTGAACACACACATACACAATCTGGAAGTTCAGGGGGTCTGGTAGCTGAGTGGACAGCGCGCGGGACACGTAATCCTGTGGGGCCGGATTCGATTCCCGGCGCCGACAGAGACAAATGGGCAGAGTTTCTTTCACCTTGATGCCCCCCTGTTACCTAGCAATAAATAGGTATCTGGGAGTTAGACAGCATTTACGGGCTGCTTCTTGGTGGGAAAGGGGGTGTGGAAAAAAATAATTAGTAGTTAGTAACAGTTGATTGACAGTCGAGAGGCGGGCCGAAAGAGCAGAGCTCAACCCCCGCAAGCACAACTAGGTGAATACACGTGTTAAACAATTTATCTTTATCTACCCTGTCGATTCCTCTTAAAATTTTGTTGGAAGTTATCATGCCTCCCCGAGCTCTCCTATCTTCCTGCACCTAACGTCGCTGGAAGATAGGAGAGTCGAGGAGACATGATCACTACCTACAAAATTCTAAGAGGACTCGACAGGGTAGATAAATTGTTTAACACGGGGGGTACGCGAACAAGGGGGACACAGGTGGAAGCTGAGTACCCAAATGAGACACAGGGTCGTTAGAAAGAACGTTTTCTGTGTCAGGGTAGTTAACAGATGGAATGCATTAGGCAGTAATGTGGTGGAGGCTGACTCCATACAGAGTTTCAAATGTAGATATGATAGAGCCCAGTAGGCTCTGGAATCTCTACACCAGTTGACTGACAGTTGAGAAGCGGGACCAAAGAGCCAAATCTCAACACCCCCCCCCCCTTCGCAAGCGCAACTAGGCGAGTACAAAACGGTGCACCTTCAAAGATCACACAAGATGCTTGTTGCCTGTTTGGTTCGTCCCCAAGTGCAAGCATCGCAAACGACCTCACAAAGCCAATGCAAAAATATCTATGCATTTCTTTACCTAATGAACCAGCGGTGTGCTGGCATTTATTGCTTAAAGAGCTGTGTAGGCTAATGTTAGCAGTACTGGGCCGAGGAGGTGGAGAGCTCCCGCCAATAACCAGCCCCATTATCGCCTCCTCCTCCTGCTCCAGCACTTGATATGGCAGTAGTCTGGGGCCAGATTCACGAAGCTGTTACGCAAGCACTTACGAACCTGTACATCTTTTCTGAATCTTTGGCGGCCTTGTTTACAATTATTGAACACTTAATGAGCTCGGAAGCACCAGGAGGCTGTTTATAACAATAACAACAGTTGATTGGGAAGTTTTCATGCTTGTAAACTGTTTAATAAATGTAACCAAAGCCGTCAAAGATTGAGGAAAGATGTACACGTTCGTAAGTGCTTGCGTAACTGCTTCATGAATCTGGCGCCAGATCATCAACCGCAGACTAACGCGGAAACTAACAATTGTATAAATGTTATGCATAATCAGTATTTCCTTTTGCGAAGCTAACTTCTGGAGTCTAGTACATTGTATACTTTCTTACGTCTTGGAGTAAACGGTTAACACTTTTATTTTATTGATCTTAATTCAAAGGTTTATTTAACCCATGATGCTAATAGGGTGCCAATAGGGTCACTAGAGAAGGCGCATTGTAAGGGAGTCTTATAATTGTTATAAATTAATGCATAGTAAAACTTTCTTGATTTGTTTAACGAACTATTTAAGTACTGTACCATGATACAGCTCTCCCCTCACTGTATGGTACAGCTCTCCCCTCACTGTATGGTACAGCTCTCCCCTCACTGTATGGTACAGCTCTCCCCTCACTGTATGGTACAGCTCTCCCCTCACTGTATGGTACAGCTCTCCCCTCACTGTATGGTACAGCTCTCCCCTCACTGTATGGTACAGCTCCCCCCCCCTCACTGTATGGTACAGCTCTCCCCTCACTGTATGGTACAGCTCTCCCCTCACTGTATGGTACAGCTCTCCCCTCACTGTATGGTACACCTCTCCCCTCACTGTATGGTACACCTCTCCCCTCACTGTATGGTACAGCTCCCCCTCCTCACTGTATGGTACAGCTCTCCCCTCACTGTATGGTACAGCTCTCCCCTCACTGTATGGTACAGCTTCCCCCCTCACTGTATGGTACAGCTCTCCCCTCACTGTATGGTACAGCTCTCCCCTCACTGTATGGTACAGCTCCCCCCCCTCACTGTATGGTACAGCTCTCCCCTCACTGTATGGTACAGCTCTCCCCTCACTGTATGGTACAGCTCTCCCCCCTCACTGTACTGTGACAATAGAACCACCAGCAAGACTTGAGTAATGTGAAGTGCCTTTGTTGGTGACACTGGAAGGGGGGGGGGGAAGGGAGAAGGGGGAGAGAGTTGGGGGGGGGGGGTGTAGCGGGGAGACGGGTGGGGGGGGGGGAAATCACAGGGTTATAGGTAGGAGATTTTGGTGATAGGAAGGGGTAGGGTGTTTGTATGGGGTGGGGTAGATGGGGAAGGGTAAAGGGGAAGGTGTTGGGGAGTATGTCTGGGTGAAAGGAGAGCTAAGTTTGGGGAAGAGGGGAGGGGGGTGAAGAGTACGGGGATGGAGAGGGGGGGATGGAGAGTGGGATAGAGGGGGGGGGAGATCACCTCGACCTTTTGTCAATCACAATCGCTATGATATTCTTTATATCCAAACGGGCGTGGGGTCGGGGCTTTAAGGGCGATTAGAAGCCCAGATATAATGGCGAATTCCACCCTTCCAGATCTGAGCGGCCGAGAGCGTGGGCCCAAATGCGACATATTCTTTGTTACCAAATGCCCGTAATGGCCGGCCGTAGAGGCGACTTCCCACGCAAGTCCAGCGACGGGACGACCCTTAGCGACATTGGAGGAGGAGGGGGGAAGGGGAATATCCCGCCCCTCCCCCCCCACTCCTGCCTGGTTGATTACCGCTTGACAAACTGTTTATTCTCGGGATTAGTGGGATTGCGACGCTCCCACGCCCGCTCATTGGGATTTTTTTTTCCTGTCAGCTCTGCTGTCGCGACGGACAGACGCGCTGACTGTTAAGGATGCGACAGTCACGCATGCACACGCTCGCATGCACACGCACGCATGCACACGCGCCTGTACGCAAGTGCACAATTCGAGTGTCACGAACATTTGTCACGATGACAAACCGTGACTGTCCACTGTCACGAGTCACAACACCCCGCGCCGTGACGGGTGGCCAACCCGTCCTCAGACGGAGTCCATTCCATCCAGCGGTTGACCCCAAAGACGCGCTCATCAATGTTAACACGCTTCTTCATTCAAAATAGGAATTTTCCCAAATGTAAATTAGTATTATGTATTTTAGCACATGGTGCATATGTAGGCATTGGTCAGGTTAGTTGTTTGGGTTCACATTTGTGTTCGTAGTACGTGGGTGAAGCAGTTACAGAGTTGCGTTTCGAACAACAGTCGTCAGCGAAGCACTGTTCGAGAAGTGTTCGGACGTCATCAGTCTTGAGTCGTGAGTAAACCGTTTTTCATTTCAGCCCGTCCTCCAAACAAAGATCCAAAAGTGATTCCATCCATCCGCCAAACCCCCTGTTTATGAATGAAAAACGGTTTACACACGACTCAACTGCTAACGTTCGAACACTTCCGGAACAAGTGCTTCACTGACGAATTTTGTTCGAACCACAACGCTGTAAATGCTTCACCCACGTACTACAAATACAAATAATCGCCAACAGAACCTAAACACCTAACCTAACCTATGCCTATATATGCACAATATGCTAATATATTGTAACATTAATTTATATTTGAGAAAATTCTTGTTTTGAATGAACAGCATGTTAAAATTTATGAATACGTCTGTGGGGTTGACCGCTGGATGTAATGGACTTGAGTCGAGGACGGGTTGTATAAATGCTTCACCCACGAAGATTATAACGTACTACAAATACAAATAATCGCCAACAGAACCTAAACACCTAACCTAACCTATACCTATATATACACAATATATAGGTATATTGTGTATATAGCATTATTAAAACCACTACCCTCTACTGTGGTCAAAGCTAGTAAGCCCTACCCCTCCCACCTTGGTGAAAGGCGACAGACGCCCTTCACCTTAGTTAAAAGTCACTATACATCATGTGGTTAAAGCACCCCATACCACGAGTAGGGCCACTACCACACCATGGGATAAGGCCACTATCACACCATGGGATAAGGCCACTACCACACCATGGGGTTAAGGCCACTACCACACCATGGAATATGGCCACTACCACACCATGGGTTAAGGCCACTACCACACCATGGGGTTAAGGCCACTACCACACCATGGGATAAGGCCACTACCACACCATGGGGTTAAGGCCACTACCACACCATGGGGTTAAGGCCACTACCACACCATGGGGTTAAGGCCACTACCACACCATGGGGTTAAGGCCACTACCACACCATGGGGTTAAGGCCACTACCACACCATGGAATAAGGCCACTACCACACCATGGAATAAGGCCACTACCACACCATGGAATAAGGCCACTACCCTTCATAATGGGTCACACCAACATTATTATTATTATTAACATCTTTATTGCCAAAATCAATTACAATTTTGCCTACTCTGAGGATTTCGATTAAGTCTTATTAAAGTGAGGATGCTTCCACTGCCCAAATGGGTACAAACCCTTACAGCCTACGGTACAATGTCGGTAAGTAATACATATAATTATTTTTCTCGGGGTCAGGAAGCCTGTGTATATATTTTAGGCTAGTTTGAGGTCCCCCTCCCCCCCACACAAGGTCCAACTACTGACCTTCCCCGTGGGGATGTAACCTCATAATAGTTGTCTCACTCCCAGGCACTTATTTACTGCTGGGTGAACAGAGGCATTAGAAGAAAGAAAACTTGCCCAACCATTTCTGTCCCACCGGGAATCGAACCTGGGATTCCCGAGGAATCGAAGTCGAAACAAATTACACTAAGAGACCATACTTATCACTACCATTACCACGTCCGTCCACCAGACGGACGCCACGTCCACCAGACAGACGCCACGTCCACCAGACAGACGCCACGTCCACCAGACAGACGCCACGTCCACCAGACGGCCAGCCACGTCCACCAGACGGACGCCACGTCCACCAGACGGACGCCACGTCCACCAGACGGACGCCACGTCCACCAGACGGCCAGCCACGTCCACCAGACGGCCAGCCACGTCCACCAGACGGACAGCCACGTCCACCAGACGGCCAGCCACGTCCACCAGACGGACGCCACGTCCACCAGACGGACGCCACGTCCACCAGACGGACGCCACGTCCACCAGACGGACGCCACGTCCACCAGACGGACGCCACGTCCACCAGACGGACGCCACGTCCACCAGACGGACGCCACGTCCACCAGACGGACGCCACGTCCACCAGACGGACGCCACGTCCACCAGACGGACGCCACGTCCACCAGACGGACGCCACGTCCACCAGACGGACGCCACGTCCACCAGACGGACGCCACGTCCACCAGACGGACGCCACGTCCACCAGACGGACGCCACGTCCACCAGACGGACGCCACGTCCACCAGACGGACGCCACGTCCACCAGACGGACGCCACGTCCACCAGACGGACGCCACGTCCACCAGACGGACGCCACGTCCACCAGACGGACGCCACGTCCACCAGACGGACGCCACGTCCACCAGACGGACGCCACGTCCACCAGACGGACGCCACGTCCACCAGACGGACGCCACGTCCACCAGACGGACGCCACGTCCACCAGACGGACGCCACGTCCACCAGACGGACGCCACGTCCACCAGACGGACGCCACGCCCACCAGACGGACGCCACGTCCACCAGACGGACGCCACGTCCACCAGACGGACGCCACGTCCACCAGACGGACGCCACGTCCACCAGACGGACGCCACGTCCACCAGACGGACGCCACGTCCACCAGACGGACGCCACGTCCACCAGACGGACGCCACGTCCACCAGACGGACGCCACGTCCACCAGACGGACGCCACGTCCACCAGACGGACGCCACGTCGCACCAGCCTGCAGAGCCGCTGAATTATTCTTCTCTCCTCCTCGGGTGACTGAGGCGCCAGCCACCAGGATAAGGGACGCCAGCCACCAGGATAAGGGACGCCAGCCACCAGGATAAGGGACGCCAGCCACCAGGATAAGGGACGCCAGCCACCAGGATAAGGGACGCCAGCCACCAGGATAAGGGTAGTAAAGGACGCCAGCCACCAGGATAAGGGCAGCAAGGGACGCCAGCCACCAGGATAAGGGCAGCAAGGGACGCCAGCCACCAGGATAAGGGCAGCAAGGGACACCAGCCACCAGGATAAGGGCAGCAAGGGACGCCAGCCACTAGGATAAGGGACGCCAGCCACCAGGATAAGGGACGCCGGCCACCAGGATAAGGGCAGCAAGGGACGCCAGCCACCAGGATAAGGGACGCCGGCCACCAGGATAAGGGCAGCAAGGGACGCCGGCCACCAGGATAAGGGCAGCAAGGGACGCCAGCCACCAGGATAAGGGACGCCGGCCACCAGGATAAGGGACGCCGGCCACCAGGATAAGGGACGCCGGCCACCAGGATAAGGGACGCCAGCCACCAGGATAAGGGACGCCAGCCACCAGGATAAGGGACGCCAGCAACCAGGATAAGGGACGCCAGCAACCAGGATAAGGGACGCCAGACACCAGGATAAGGGACGCCAGCCACCAGGATAAGGGACGCCAGCCACTAGGATAAGGGACGCCAGCTACCAGGATAAGGGACGCCAGCCACCAGGATAAGGGACGCCAGCCACCAGGATAAGGGACGCCAGCCACCAGGATAAGGGACGCTGGCAACCAGTACAGAGACGCCAGCTACCAGGATAAGGGACGCCAGCCACCAGGATAAGGGACGCCAGCCACCAGGATAAGGGACGCCAGCCACCAGGATAAGGGACGCCAGCCACCAGGATAAGGAACGCCAGCCACCAGGATAAGGGACGCCAGCCACCAGGATAAGGGACGCCAGCCACCAGGATAAGGAACGCCAGCCACCAGGATAAGGGACGCCAGCCACCAGGATAAGGGACGCCAGCCACCAGGATAAGGGACGCCAGCCACCAGGATAAGGGACGTCAGCCACCAGGATAAGGGACGCCAGCCACCAGGATAAGGGACGCCAGCAACCAGGATAAGGGACGCCTGCCCCATGGGTGTCAGTGACCGAGGGGAGGGACACCCAACCACAGGGAGCGAGGAACCAGGGCGAGGGGAAGACTGAGGTGACAGTGTGTGTTCAGTAAGGGGAGCCGTGAATGCACCTTTCACTCTGGGGGTAATTAAAACTCGTGCTGGGGGGCGTTTCTCCCCGACCAGAGCCGGACGCTGCCGGCCACAGATCACACCCCCCCCCTCCCTCTCCCCCCTCCCTCCCACCCCTCCCCCACACTCTCATTCTCCTTCCTCATACTCATTAGTCCCTCTCCTTAAACCCTGCCTGTGTCTCACTCATTCTTTTCCTTCAATTCTCCCTCTCACTTTATTCATCCTTCCTTCAAGCCTTTTATCTCCCAAAATTGCTGAATTTGTACACACGGATACGAGGAAAACATTTGGTAAATGTGACCATGGCTTATGGCGTGATAAGCCATACAATGTGACCATGGCGTGATAAGCCATACAATGTGACCATGGCGTGATAAGCCATACAATGTGACCATGGCGTGATAAGCCATACAATGTGACCATGGCGTGATAAGCCATACAATGTGACCATGGCGTGATAAGCCATACAATGTGACCATGGCGTGATAAGCCATACAATGTGACCATGGCGTGATAAGCCATACAATGTGACCATGGCGTGATAACCCATACAATGTGACCATGGCGTGATAAGCCATACAATGTGACCATGGCGTGATAACCCATACAATGTGACCATGGCGTGATAACCTATACAACAAGGTCGACAGGAATTAATAACAGGTGGTGTTGGACGACGGATATTCAGTTTGTGGCCAAACACAATGCAAGAGAAATATCAGACAAACTCAAGTTCAAGCAGAGGAAAAAGCTCTGTACCCCCAAGGCACCCACCACTACTTGCTCATTTTTTCCCCTTCCCTCCCTCTTCCCAATCCGCTTCCCCTCATCTCTCTCCTTCCCTCGTCATTTCACCCCCTCTTCCTCCATTTGACCCCCTCCTCTCTCTCTCTCTTTCCTCTTGTCTCTACAACAATTATTGTTTTGAAACACACTTCCCACTCCAGCGCCTGCAGGTAGACTCACTGCACGGGACTCAACTGAACAGCCTGTCCTCACCAGCGACCCCAACATCAAGAAACCGTCGTACTAACGCTCCCACTTTAGCACAACAGCTTAGCTCTCTTGAATGCCCACACAAAACCTCCGTGGGCATTAAATTACGAAGTCTAAACCTCCCCTCTTTAAGTTCTCTCAAATGGTAGGTGAGAAGACCCACGCCCACAGGTCAGGGACGTGAGGCCTCTGGTTAAGGGGGCCGTCCTTACACAACCCTGAGCTCTCCATAGTAATCCCCCTCACCTGCAACACAAACCATTCACGTAAATGGTTGTCACACAACACCCAACCTCCTGGAGGCCCCCGGGGACCACCCCACCCGGCCACAACACACAACTCAAATATAATAATAAAAATATTACCACCAACAAATTATTAATATTGTAGTAATATATAATAATAATTAGATTATAATAATATACATGATATTATTTTATAAAACAATTATATATGATTACAATATTATGATGGTGGTGATATTATTATTATTATATTTGAGGAGTTTGTTGTAGTGTAGTGTGGTCCTCCGGGGCCCTCCCAGTCCTCCGTGGGGTTCTACAGGGCCCTCAGCGAGGCCACCAGCCTGCTGCAGGTACCCTACAGTATGTATAAAGGGACCCACATCCTTGGAGAAGAAAATCAAGAGTATTCAGAGAAAAATCTTATCTCTAAATTAGTTTGAGCATATGCTTCTCATACCACCCCCCATTCTTAATCATATATACGTTATTATACAAAGTTACATCATTACAAACGTGGCTTGTTATACAACAGAAACATTAATGAAAACACGAAAGTTTGTTTCCCAGCTATAGTCTGGGAAACAATCTAAAGTCTTCAATCTTCTACAATCAATCTATAGTCAACAAATTCACAAGGGTCGTGACGAGGATTCGAACCTGCGTCACGGCCCTTGTGGATTTGTTCATTTGATGCATCACGTTAGTGTGATTTGTGTGTGCAATCTATAGTCTATAATCTTCTCCGACGTTGGGCAGGATCGGTGGATGCTGTGGGCATGTCCTCTTGATCGTCAAATTGATGCTTTGGAAAACCCAAACTGGCTGCTCTAGGGGCCTTTTATTGTGTCGATGAGCTGGAACCCAAATCCTTAAACACGTTTGCCTGCTTGATGGGGTTCTGGGAGTTGTTCTACTCCAAGCCTGGGAGCTTGGTTCAGCAGGCTGTTGGTTGGAGCGGCCCGTAGGCCCACATATCCACCACAGCCCGGTTAGTCCGGCACTTCTTGAAGAAAACTATCTAGTTTTCTCTTGAAGATGTCCACGGTTGTTCCGGTAATATTTCTTATACTAGCTAGGAGGATGTTGAACAACCGTGGACCTCTGATGTTTATACAGTGTTCTCTGATTGTGCCTATGGCACCCCTGCTGTTCACTGATTTTATTCTGCATTTTTTTCATATCGTTCACTCCAGTATGTTGTTATTTTACTGTGTAGATTTGGGACCTGGCCCTATGGTATTTTCCACGTGTATACTATTTGATATCTCTCTCGTCTCCTTTCTAGTGAGTACATTTGGAGAGCTTTGAGACGATCCCAATAATTTAGGTGCTTTATCGCGTCTATGCGTGCCGTATATGTTCTCTGTATTCCCTCTATTTCAGCAATCTCTCCTGCTCTGAAGGGGAAAGTGAGCACTGAGCAATACTCAAGATGGGATAACACACATGATTTGAAGAGTACAACCATTGTGATGGGATCCGTGGATTTGAAAGTTCTCGTAATCCATCCTATAATTTTTCTGCCTGACGCAATATTTGCTTGGTTATGCTCCCTAAACGTTAGGTCGTCAGACATCAATATTCCCATCATTACGCTATAGTCATATCTCCCGTCACTCCTCTTCATCACCTACTCTTTACTCCTATCCACATTTCACCGAAGCTACAGTTTCTGTCAATCACTATTTGTGTTCCTGTCCATGTGAACGTTTTAGCCTGTCTAGGAGTCTGTCGAAGGATCTCCTTCAGCTACAGAATGAGAGACGTGAGGAGTGATGAGGTAACTCTGCCCTCATAATTAATGTGTCTTGGCCTTCCTATAAGTCAAGACGTGTACTTTATCTTTCCCCTAATGCTGGCCTAGAGCCACAAAAACCCACGGACGTTCCTTGATTCGCCCATTCACATGCAAAACCCAATTCCTTCTCCGCTGACAAAACTACCAACATTTTCTGACCCCAATCAATCTCACTTCATTACAAAGCTTTACAGCTGGATTACTCATTACCATCTTAAAGCTCCCAGCAGGCAGTTGAGATGCTACCCCTCACCCCACCCCCACTAAACCCTACGTAATACATTTCTCGCTCTACATTTCCCCCCAATCCCCTATCCCATTTTGGAAGATGGGGGGTAGGGGATGGTCCCTGTACCATTCCCCCTCCATTTCCATTCTTTATCTCTACATCCATGCATTCACATGGTCTCAATCTATACTGTCCTTGCATCCATCCTTCAGTCATTCCTTCCCTTCAAATCATCCTCCCCCCCTCTCCCTCCCTCTCTCTCTCTCTCATTTCCTTCCCTCCCACGTTTATCATGCCCTCCAGCCCTCTAATCTCCCCCTCCCCCCCGTCTGGTGGTCGCCCGGATCCAAAGCAAGCCTTGAAAAACACATGACTGAAGGATGGTTTTTACTAATACGTTCAGAATGAATTAATGAGAATTTGGAGGATTGTGGAAGAATGAGAGAAGAGAGAGTGGATGAGAGTAGTGTGATGGCGAGGAACGAGAACGAGGTG